CAAATATAACAAACATTGTAAAACGATTGATATTCAACATGTATTACTTTAACTTTCAATTCAGTAAAGTAGAAAGTTGTTTAAACTACTCAATTTCATATAATTTTACCATTTACTTTCATTAAGAACTTTCCTCTAAATTTGAACGAATAGTTTCACAATATTTAGGCGACGAGTTCATGTGAGACCTTAAAGAGGAATAATATATTTTCTTGAGAAAACTTGGACCAGATTGTCAAGTGAAATGTTGGATTTACTTCAAATTCTTTGCTGAGATTTTACTAATTCATTGTTCAACATCACTTTGATGCGTTTAAGAAGAGAGAGTTTAATATTTTTATTTTACACTAAAATCTATTATTTATTATTCAGTATTTTATCGATGTCTTATGAAAAAAGATCATTATGTTATACCCTTTTTTTTGATTAAGCGTTTTTGTAATTTTCATTATTGATCATATATGATCTAGAATTCAGTTATTTTTGAAAAGTTTTTTTTTCTTATATTAAAGTTCATTCTTTTACTACATGATTTAATTTTGGGTTCAGAAATGGCGAGACTCTAAGTTATGGACAACCTCTGAACGAATCTTAAGTAACCTTGAAAAAGATTAGCCAATCAAAAAACAGTCAGTATAGAGTAAAAATATGTTATACAAAACCAAGGAAATATAGTGGATACACATCTTAGACGTGGTTCGAAAAGTTGTCAAGGTTAGAAAGAGGTTCAGAGGTTTTAAAATCGTAATGTATGCAGTAGAGGAAATCATCCATACGGCTACAGAGTAGTCGGCCTCTGGAACTATGATAAAGTCTCAAAAACTCTTTCAGTTTCGACCGCATTGCTTCAATATTGTTTATGTGCACTCCAGTTGTTGAGTACACAAAATGCCACTTGTGGATAACGACACGATGCACATAACCAAGCCTATGTATGAGTCTGTACGCTCTCCAAACATCCGTATATATTGTAGTACCTGGCTGCAGCCAGTGTTTTTGGTGCTTTTATTATCCCATTCGCGATAATTGTCATAATTCGCCTTAGTTAGGAATTATATATGGGGTTTTCATCACAAACTGACATCAGCTATAGTGCCAGAAATTTATTTAGACAAATGGATGAAAGGTTTTCGCGCTGAAATCCGAGATCTATTATCTTACACCTGATTGATTCGTCCACAAATTATAGTCTCGCCGCTTTATTTTTCTAATTTTTTGACGGGATTTGTGCCAACTGCAAAAAACACTACATCGGACAAAGCGGACATCCCCTTCACCTACGCCTACATGAACATCAATTAGCAGTCAAACCCCATGATATCTCTTCACTTATATCAATACACGTGGATGACTACGAACACTCATTCGATTGGGAAAATGTAGAAATCTTAGACAGAGGAAACTCCAAAAACACCAGAAATCAATCCAATTTATCAACCAATCAGGAAAATCATGCACAAATATAGGGACAAAAATCAAACCAATGGGAGACACGACCAAAACAAAGAAGTAAACAATGACAAATTTAAGGTCAAAAAGAACCAATCAACATAGAGGTACACAGAACAAGCTGTGAAACGCATATGGAGAAATTCGAACACTTCACTTCTATCTGAAGTTTGTGCTGATGATGTCGTTCAGAAGAACGATGAAAGCTCCACGACCAAACCATCCAGCTCAGAGAACAAAACTCCACCAAAATCATCCACCTGAGCTACAAATCTTCACCATCTCAAAATCAGGATGATCGTAGAAACAGAAATAAAACAGTTGGGAGTAGAGGATTTAAAGGGAAGATGGAATGTGAAGCAGATGGCTCTAAAGGAACAAGAGTATGAAAGAGAGAGGAAAAATTTTAATACATTAGGACCAAGATAGAAGTAGAGGTTGTAACAGAATCTTTTGCACACATAATTCTGATTTTTCCAGATGTATGGCTATTGCTTCGGCAATGCAGAGAAGACGCAGTCTAATTGTCTTAGGAAGACTTCTACTTACCTTGTAGATGACTTTGAACGCAGAGTCTGTCTTGATTGAAAGACCTACGTTCACAACGGCTTCGATTATAGAACTTCTTATTGAGCCGTTGCCTCCTCTTTTTAGCTCCGCCGGATAATGTTCTTGAATTCTTTTGGATGAAGTACGCATCGAACAACCTATATACTGCACATTGAGTTAATCAGATGCGATAATTTATCTTTCTGATTATTGGTGAACATTGATCGGCTGGAGAATAATATTCGCAAAGTTGCTGCGATGAATGTTCTTTTTAAAAAATCAGAAATTCTCCTCTTTAAGATATATGTGGCTCTGTCACCTTTGAAGTCGATGTTCATGTATGTTCTTACTTCAATTTTTTTGTGTGCATGTGAATATATACACAAATTAGTAAATTGAACATGATTAGATATAACATATCTCTGTATTTATATACTATCTCAAGGTCAAAAGGATAGATAAGGGATTACAAAAAAATATATGTTTATGGAGAAATTGTTTATGTACTTCATCAATGTTTCAGCTGATATATCTTTGTCCGATTTTAGAAGAAGATATTGTAGGGCTAGTGAAACTTTACTGAGTCCTAGACAAATCATACGGCAATCGGGTCATTGAAAATCGAACAGATCATCAATTTCCGTGAAAGTCAAAGACAATCAACACGCATCAGTTAATCGTAAGCTATGGACTAGCCAATACGGTTGTGGTCTCACTATCTCTGCACTTATTCCGTAATAACGTCCTTTGTGTTATAGGGTCTTCAAAGCATCAATAGTATTTTGATATCATGAAGGGGTAATCCACGCTAGGTGCTGACTGCGAGATGTGATTTCCATGTTAGCTATTGGTCACACCATTACCGTCTAAGTCGAATAAGCCCCCAATCATTCAACATAAATCATCTACGTTGGTAATCTACAACATGTATATACTTATATTGTTTGTGTACAATTTATATAATTTTCCTATTGAGGTTTCCTAGTCATTTCTCAGTTTACTTATTAGTATTTCAGATAAGGTAAGCTTATAGGAACCGTGTAAATCCCTATCAGAATCGAATGACTGTGAAAAGAAACAGAAATCATTTCCGAGATATGATAATCTTTCCTAACAAAAATACCTACATAATATTTAGTGGTTCATAAAAATAACTGAACATAGTAAATTCACGTACAATGAAAGAAATGATAATATAAACAGTTAATAGGCTTAATGATAATAATATGTACAAATGAGTAGATCATGTTCATTATTGATCAGTTATCAAGACATTTCATTTGACTAAACATTTTCAGGAGAAATCAGTGAAAACGTGCATTTTACACACTTTATTACTATAAATAGTTTACTGATCTGTAGTGTTTCTAAGTATTTGAATTACAGTATGAACTAGGAATCCCAGAAATAACGTAATCGGATCAAGAAGTAGCAGATAACCACAAACGAATGTATTGTATTTAGAATTCGAAATTAAGCATTCAACAAGTACAAAGGTATCATTAGTTCATTCAAACACAGCACGATCTTAGTATATGTAAAATTTAGCCCAAATTGAAAATAAACACTTTATCAGGTATTGAATGAATAATGAAGATCAAAGAGTACTATAGAAACAATATAGCACAAGTTTTAAACTCAATAAAAGTCAATCATTTACGTAAGTTATGTTGAAGTAATATGAACCTTTATGAATCTTAAATTGTAATTTAATGAGATATCTGTTATTGATGAGTTGTTTCAAGACAGATTACTTAAACGTTTAGTTATGACTTGAAAAATCAACAAATCAGTTGAGATAATGAATAACGATTTAGTTGTAAGTGGTTAAATCTTCCAACTCCCCTTACGAGTTGTTGGTGTTAAGTCACAGAATTGATAAGTCTGTTTTAAGATATTGTGTATATCTCTAAAGAATTGAGTTAATGTTGCTATAAGTCAGAATCATCTTTAAGTAGAATTCGATAGTCAATGAAACATGAAACTTAACTTTCATTACTATTCACTAATCAGCTCTAATTAATGATGAACGATGATCTTGTTATAATAATCAATACATTCTTTAAATTTCAAGACCTATGAGCATCAACCCGATGATTGAAATGTCAGGAAAAATCATGACGATGATGATGATGATGATGATGATGATGATGCTACGTTCAATTTCGTACTGGACTTAAAGTTAGACAACTATCATCAAATATAATTTCATAATAGAATATCTATTCTTGTAACATTATTCATCATAATACTGATTATTTCTTATTAAATTGATTCATCTAAATCTTTTCAAAGTCATTTCATTAATATACCTTATAGATAGATGACTGATATAAAATTTTAATGATAGAAAATAGTAAAGCTACCACGTAGAAATTAGGTATCTAAATGTTAAACACACAATACAAAGTTACCTATGAATCGGTCAATGTTTTAACAATGAATAATAGAAGTACATATATATATATCATAATCCAATACATAACAGAAATGAATTTCTAATATTTTGTGATGATTTTACTTATTTACATTTTTTTAGTACTTTTAAAATGCTTATTGATATTTTATGATCATTATAAAAGAATTTAATGGAATCCATGGAAACTACATATATGTTATTAGAATATTTACAAATTGATTTCAATACAAGAATACTTATTACCTTTAGTTGGCCATAACTGGTTCAGAGTATTATTAACATAATGATGGTAAATCAATTGATGAGGTTGAAAATATTCATCGGCTGAGATGGTTGATCCACGTGTTACGTACGCCTGAACATCGATTACCCTGAGGCGTAATGCCAACCGGTGTTAGGGGTCGTTGGAAGAAAGTTAGGGGCTTACTTACTTACTTAATTACTTGCGCCTGTTACTCCCAATGGAGAATAAGCTGCCGACCAGCATACTCCAACCCAATCTGTCATGGACCTTCCTTTCCACTTCTGTCCAACGTTTGTTAATTCTTCTCATGTCTGTCTCCATTTCTCATTGTAATGTGTTCCTTGGTATTCCTCTTTTCCTTTCGCCTTCAGGATTCCATGTGAGGGATTACCTTGTGACGCAGTTGGGTGCTTTCGTCAGTGTGTGAACTACCCACTTCCAGCCACTCTTCCTGATTTCTTCCTCCGTTGGGATCTGATTTGTTCTCCCCCATAGTTGGTTGTTTGGTGGTAGTGTCTGGCAAACGGATCCGAATTATTTTGTGTAGACAACTGTTAATAAACACTTGTATCTTCTGGATGACGGCTTTCGCAGTTCTCCAAGTTTTCGCTCCATACAACAGAACTCTCTTGACATTTACATCGAAAATCCTGACCTTGATGTTGGTTGACATTTGTTTTGAGTTCCAGATATTCTTCAGCTGTAGATCTGCTGTTCTTTCTTTGCCGATCTGCGTCGTCACATCTGCATCAGATCCACCGTGTTTATTAATGATGCTGTCCAAATACATCTTTCAAACCCTTATTCTGATAATAAGTAGTAAAAACATAGGAAAAAACTTCCTTTTTCCTGCACGTATTCAATTTGATATTTTCTTAAAATATGCATGAAGAGTTTTTTAGTCAGATGAACAAATTTATTGGAATCACATGAAAAAAAAACTCTGTTTCATTGACAGCAGAAAGTCTCTATGACAACAATAAATAATAATAAATTTTATATTCGTATTGTTTTCAATTCTGTTTTTTTTTTAAATATTTTTACCCATGATTATTCTCATATTCATGAGTTAAATTTATGCTCAGTTTTTCTTGATTTCTTCCATTTATTTGCAAATAGTATAAATAGGACAAAATGTCCATCCTAGATTCCACTGCTTACCACTATCTATCTTTGTTTAGAATACTTGTGAATTAAGGTAATATGGAAGCAATACGCATAGGATGCACATATGCCACTAAGAGATTGATCAATTGTAGTCTTAAACATCAATAGGAAGATTTGGATAAACAATACAAAATGAATGTATCATTAGAAGTTTTCTATTTGCTAAGTTGTTCTGTTTTCTGGCTATTGGGTTGACAAGCGTGAGAAACTGTATTATGTATCCATAATCATTTAGTATTACTCTTGGTAGTTATCTCACTTTTTTTTCTTGTTGTTGGCATTAGATAGACCATCTATGCGAGCTGATCAATATCTGGAAAAGGTCATTACAACTGCTCTGCTTTCCTACGGTACGATCTTACGGGCTCCAAATACCGAAACAAGAAAATCCGTTTGTTTTCATCGACAAACCACTTATATTGTGTAATTATTTAAGAGCTGAAGCGTAACAATTCATTTACAATCACTTTTGAAACATACCTAATTTTTAACTAAACTCAAGATTGAGGCTGAAAATATATTTACTAAGATACCATTTCATTATTTATGGTAATTATCATAAAATGAGTAGTCTTCAAGCGAAATGAAAAGGTATTTAGATTGACCAACCACACTATCATCATGTGAATAAACCTTTTAAAATACTCGTTATCAAATAGTTTGGGTGAGATATTTGCTGTGGATGTGAGTTCTTTGTCCATCTGTTGGGTCGTGGACGTAATAAAAACGGTTTATGGATCATATTTACGAGTTACTGGATATTTTTTATTGCAGCTGATCATGGTTTTGTCTTTTAAAATAAAATAAAACCAAATCCATCGTTTACTGATTTCTGGAGTTAGGAACTACGTCGTAATTGACTTTATGTAAGCACATAATAGGTGCACCCGTCACTAGTCGTTGGAGTAATCGAAACTTCCAGGTGCCCTTGACTTTCATTATCTAATGAGGTAATTCAGAAACATTTGGTGAAAATATCATACGCTTTCTTTATTGAGTACGTTTTGATAACGATAAATCGCAATTGTATTCACAATTAACTGATAAGTTTTCATGATAAGTAATATATATAACTACACATTGAGCTCAGTTCATCGGTTTTCTGTGAAGTGCCAGCGATTTCCAGTGTGTGTTTAGCATGACGTATCCACATTGGATCTTTACCTTTCACCACATACATTACATTCCTTAGTCTCTCTATTCAAAGCCATTAGTCTCAATTCGGACTAGAGCATTTTTAGTCTCAAGGTTAAACTAGTTAATCTATCGTGTCAAGGTGTTAAGCTATATCGAGACCACTTCCCTTCTGGATATTATTGACCACACAGATCAATAACTTAACAGACGTGGCGGCGGAGATTTTTTTCCATTTTGATTGTTCTAAAAGAAAATGTTTATACGTTTGAACGACCTTAAAACTATTCTACAAATTCAACAAGCGCAGAGTGATGCAAATTAAATTAAGCTTTTGGAAGCACTGATGCCGACGCTCTCATTTCATTCAACTTCAACCTGAATCTGGCACCATATTTGATTTATGGTCTTTTCGTTTTGAAGACATATATCTTATAAATTATTTGGTTCTGGCTTTGTGGTCTAAATACTAAATGTTACCGTGCGATCGAGGATGATGCAGGGTTCACATTGGCCGGGTCGTAAATGTGTACTACTAAGAACTCTCATGCTAGGACCAAACTGCAATCCAATTCTCCCAAGTTTTTACGGGTTACTTGAGTTCGGTGAATTTCTTGATAGGAACCGTCTTATTTGAAGGTTTACTATTTTTGGTTTAAACGGCGTTTACTTTTTTATAACACCACTTATAACTGAAATAAATGTGTGACGATTACAACCTATTAGGTTTTACATTTAAACATTGAGAAATGTCAACCGCTGAAATGTTAATGTTGAGCTTAAGTAAAACAGTCTAAAAATATTCAACACAAAAATTTGCTAATGACATTTTATTTGTTAGATGACGACATTAAGATTAAAAGATAACTTGCTGAGACTAGCTGTCTATGATGGGACTGATCACTATTGAATGACCAATCAACTGTAGATTTAGAAAACTATTTCGTTCACGTTTATTACTGTCGATGAAACATCATGTTGATAGCTTAAATATATCACTCTTAATTCCTAGTATAATTAATGCCGAAAAAGTGAAAAATGTTAACAGCTCGGAATGAAGATTTTGGGTGTGTTGTTTTTTCTGAGCTAGATAGTTTAATTATAGAGCCTTCATCGTCTTTATTGGACAGCATTATCATGACATACCTCAAAACTAATGAGTTTTTGGAATTTCTACACAAGCAAATTAAGGGTTGTTCTCTTGTTCTGGAATTTGGTTTGTTGTTTAGCAGATGCTAAACATATAATTATAATCACGAATCAATCAATAGGCATATGGAAAACCAGCACACCTATCAAACAGTAGGAAAAAGGTCAGAGATCAGATTAAGAGAGAAAATAAGCAAAATGCGAATATGAACAACAACTACACGGTTACAGCTAACAAACAACCAAATTCCAGGCAAACAGAACAATCTGTTAGTCATTTGTGGATAAATCCTAATAACTCATAGTGTTTTTGTAAGTATGTGCTTATTATGTTGTCCAGAAAAATAGTGAAAGTTACACAAACAAATCATCTAACTGAAAGAGATTTAATTTTTCTAGAATGATGCATACTTACTGTATACCATAGATCATTCATTGAGAGTACAGTATGAGGACAAGTTTAAAATAATTGCAATCAATTTAAGCCTGTTGTTAACCAACCAGAAAACAATGAATTTAAATAAGTAGTTTATCGAAAAACAACACAAATATATAAAGGATTTATATAATTGATGAATCTCTTGAAGTTATCTAAAGGCTTTACTGTCTCTCTGTAAAAATCAAGGAGAAAACAACAACAACAACAAACGTTACCTCATATAGATGTATAAAACCGGTCACCTCTATTCTTTATCAGAATATTATTATTATTATTACTATTGGTTAAATATCATTAATAATGTCCCCTATACATTGTTCTTTCACTAATCTTTCACATAATATAGTCTTTCATGAAACATTTGATCGAATTGTAATTGCACTATTATTTCTCTCACTCTATCTGATCCATATTTAATTCTGATCATCAATCTTAAATTTCACTTCATATTTATACAGATTCAAGTTAACATTCTATATGAATCATATCAACATACTTTAAACAGTGTACTTTACCCTCAGATGATATCACATAGTTCTGATAATCTTCGTCTTCTAATATCATTATTGAAAAGAATTCATTGAAAAGAGAATATTCTTCGTTCAAATATTTGTCTTTTAATATCGAAAAGATTTCTATTAACCTTTATAGTATTCTTGGTTAGATTTGGGAGTTTAAATAGTTAAGCTAAGATTAAGTGTTGAGATTAAGCATTTAGGAATTAGAAGTATAGACTTAACGATTTAGGGTTAATGGTTTAAAGGTTAGATTTGATTAATATTACTTGATCATTTGATACATTTAATAACTTCAATTTTACTCCGTAATGATAAACAAATTCATTCTCATTATAATTTGATAGATTTTGAACATTAATACAAAATTATATCAGATGGGTTATGTGGATATTATAGTAATTTCAATGGTTAAGATCATGAGTCAGTTGAAGCTAGACCACCATGGAAAACCTGTAAGCACTGGCTCACTAATGACTGGTTTCAAGAGGTATATCCTGGAGTTCTAGTGAGAAATAGTGACCAGTGGAGTTCAACCAGGTCTGTTGTGAGATAGTAACTCACTGAAAACAATGGTGGATATGTCGCTCAATTTCATGAATTAGTTGAAGTTAGAAATTAACACCGTTGGATGCCAGCTCAGTGAACTAGTGGTTAAGTGCTCGTGTGCGAAACCCTTAGGTCGTGGGCTGGGATCTCGCAAAGGGTGAGGTAATGGATGCGCACTGCTGAGGAGTCCCACAGTAGGACGAAACGGCCGTCCAGTGCTTCCAGGTTTTCCATGGTGGTCTAGCTTCAATTGACTCATAATCTTAACCACTGAAGTCACAAAATTATATTCTAATGATCATATTACGTAACAGACGATAAATATCCACAAATTGATTTCTTAATCCTGATTTACTTATCCCTATACTATAATTTTATGAATAAGTTCATTGAAATGTGGATGATCAATCGATCCCTGAGATGGCGGTTAGTTAAACATTTAAAATGTATCATTATTCAAATGTTAAGGATAGGCTATTGACTTATGACTCATCTATTATGTTTTAAAGTATTGATCTGAAAATTGATTAATTGATTGATTTTTTTGTAATACTATATCTATTTACGTTGTTAATATTTGCTTACTTAGAAACTATTAAATGAAGACTTATACATGATAATATGATCACATTTAAATTATGTGATCATATTAAGTAAGATGTCATGTATTTAGCCTTTTAACTCCTTCGTATTTATCATTAAGATGAACCAAAGATTTTAAAAACTGTTAGATATTTGGAAATAGAAGGAAGAAACATTTTGATATAGGTCTCAGGCTAGTCAATACATGCCAGTAAGATGTACTTACCACCTTAAAGATGATTTTCTATGAAGGATTCAAACTTCTAAACGTTAGCACTGTGAAAGTAATCTAGTTCTTGTGTTTTCTGTGACCACTTGCCATTCAATATGATGTACGCCGTGTTTAGTCATTTAAATTAGTGACTACATAATAACTTAATTAACACTAAAAGACTAAAGAAACATGACACCGGTCACTACTCAATAAACATCAATGTCATT